AGAAAGAAAGAAAGAAAGAAAGAAAGAAAGAAAGAAAGAAAGAAAGAAAGAAAGAAAGAGAAAGAAAGAAAGAAAGAGAAAGAAAGAGAGAAAGAAAAGAGGAAGGGAGGGAGGGAGGGAGGGAGGGAGGCTGGGTGCAGTGGCTCACATCTATAATCCCAGCACTTTGGGAGGTCAAGGCGGGCAGATCACGAGGTCAGGAGATGGAGACCATCCTGGCTAACACGGTGAAACCCGGTCTCTACTAAAAATACAAAAAATTAGCCTGGCGTGGTGGTGGGCACCTGTAGTCCCAGCTACTCAGGAGGCGGAGGCAGGAGAATGGCGCAAACCTGGGAGGCAGAGCTTGCAGTGAGCCGAGATCGCACCACTGCACTCCAGCCTGGGTGACAGAGCGAGACTCCATCTCAAAAAAAAAAAAAAAAAGAGAAAGACAGACAGATAGAGAGAATGAGAGAAAGGAAGAAAGAAGAAAGAAAACAAAGAAAGAAAGAGAGAAAGAGAGAGACAGGGGAAGGGAGGGAGGGAGGGAGGAAAGTTTTATATGTATTTGCTTCTGGCCATGATGTAGTAACTACTATTAGATAATCCTCCTGGCATAAACCATAAACTGGGCAAAAATATATAAAACTGTTTGCAGACATTGGACAACAAAAAGTACATGACACTGATCCCTGAAGAAAGAAAAACAAGTCTTTCTGTTTTGTTTTGTTTTTTCCTTTTTTTTCTCTTAAAACAAGTCATTTTTTTGTTTACAGTCACCCTGCCTGACTCTCTAGGGACAATTTTCTTTTTTTTTTTTTTTTTTTTTTTGAGGCGAGAGCCCCCCCTTGCGCCCAGGCTGGAGTGCAGTGGCGCAATCTCAGCTCACTGCAAGCTCCGCCTCCCGGGTTCACTCCATTCTCCTGCCTCAGCCTCCCGAGTAGCTGGGACTACAGGCGCCCGCCACTGCGCCTGGCTAATTTTTTCTATTTTTAGTACAGACGGGGTTTCACCATGGTCTCGATCTCCTGACCTTGTGATCCGCCCGCCTCGGCCTCCCAAAGTGCTGGGATTACAGGCGTGAGCCACCGCGCCCGGCTCTAGGGACAATTTTCTAACCACAGCCTGAGGAGGAGGACACCAAAGGAAGTCCAATCCTCCTATTGAGATTACGGGACAGAGGGTGGAAGGTGGGGCAACAAAGGAGGCTGGAATTTGAAGCGCAAACTTCCAGAAAAGAAGGAGCCACACAGCAAAAGAGCTTCAGAAATCTGCATAGGTGTCCCCTTGAGTCTTTGGCTGAATATGAAGCTGGGCATGTGTAGAGTGAGACTCTACAAAGTGGGGCAAAGAAAAACTGCAGAGGAACTCCATCCAACCTGAACAGTCACCTCAGCTCACACAGGACAAGCCAAGGTGCAGAAAAATTGCTGAAAACTCTGGCCATTCAGCAGAAAACTCAGTAAGGCCATGCCTTAAGTATAGAACTAAGATATCCATAGAATAAAGGCTATTTGAGACCTTCCCTAACAAAACTTTAAAAGAAGACTAGAGATGATGAAGTTGATCTACAAGTAAAGTAACCACTTACTAAGCAAAACTCAATAAAAGGAAGATAACAAATCCAAACACTTAATAACATAATATTCATACTGTCCAACACTCAATCAAAAATTACTAGACATGCAAAGAGGTGGAAAAACATGGCAAAATGAAGACAAATTAGTCAACATATACGAAACCAGGTATGACAGAGATGACAGAATTACAATATAGAGAATAAAAGGAGGGGCTGGGCATAGTGGCTTGTGCTTATAATCCCTGCACTTTGGGAGGCTGAGGCAGGAGGATCATTAGAGGCAGGAGTTTGAGGCCAGCCTGGGCAACAAAGTGAGGCCGTGTCGCTACAAAAAATGTTAAAATGAGCAAGGTTTAGTGGTGCATGCCTGTAGTCCCAGCAACTCAGGAGGCTGAGGTGGGAGGATTACTTGAGCCCAGGAGTTCAAGGTTATAGTGAGCTATGATTGCACTGCTGTACTCCAGCCGAGGTGACAGAGACT